GCTTCTCGATTTTGCGGTGGTGGCGGTGGCGATGGATTGACACCATATGGAAGGTTACGTGATGCGAAAAAATCTTGTGCAGCTTCACGACTTTGTGGTAAAGGTGGTGGTCGATTAATACCATATGGTAGATTACGTGCAGCAAAGAAATCTTGTGCAGCTTCGCGGTTTTGTGGTGGCGGTGGCTGATTGATGCCATATGGTAGATTACGTAAAGCGTAGAAATCATGCACAGCTTCGCGGTTTTGTGGTGGTGGTGGTTGATTGATACCAGGTGGTAGATTGCGCAACGCATAGAAATCATGTACAGCTTCGCGGTTTTGTGGAAAAGATGGTGGTGGTGGTGGTGGTAGATTACGTAGAGCTAGAAAATCATGTACTGCTTCTCGATTTTGCATTGGTGGTGGACGATGAACAATACCACCAGATGGTTGCCGCATTCTATTGAACATATTTGCCAGATTATTGGAATTTTGCGCACTTGCATTTTCTGCTCTATTCCAAACATTAGCAACAGCATTGTGTTGTGCCTGTGATTGTTGTGGAGGGTATGGAAGAGTATTTCGCGGAGGTAATCGGTTTAGATTAGGTGAAGAATTAGATGGTGGTAAATGATCCGATACATTTCTCGCTTTATTCCACACATTGCTTAGTATATTGTGGATAGCAGGTGGAGCATGATTGGGTACAGAATGATGGCGTTGTCGATGTCGATGTGGTGGTGGTCGTCTATAATGATGATCATCTTCTGTATCTGAAACTTCATGACAAACAAGTCGTCGTCGACGACCATTTGGAGAAGAGTGAATAGTTAGATCAATTGGTTCAGATCCACCTTTTGAAATATGATTTGAAAATTATATATAAATAATTTTATTATAGGAAAGTGTATTTCTCACTTCTGTAATAATTAACGAGAGAACTGGATGATTGTAATGTATTTACATCAATACCGAACTGTCGTAAAATGGTATCGAGTGGAATATTCTCTACAGAACAACCAACACTTTTATTATTCAATTATTTGTTTACGAAAAAACTGAAGCAAACCTGGTACTTGATAAACTAATGTATTGTTGCCTACCATTTGATTTATTTGTGGCACAATCTGATTTATTTGTGGTACAATCTGTAAGGTGGTTGCTGGAGATTGATAAGTTAATAGATCACTTCTTGGTGATGTAATATTCTGTTGAATATGAGTTAGTTTTCATTTAATAATTAAATAAAATAGTACATACCGATATTAATGCACTTATGTCATCGTTATAATATGGAACTGTTTGTATTGAAGGACCAGCATAAGGAAATTCATAAACTGGACCATTTAGTAGGTCTGTCAGATAATTCATGATGATGTTGAGTACCCTTCACTTATCTGCTATAAAAACGAACAAATGATACAGTATGAATGAATACAAGAAAGCCTTGTATTCATGACTACTTTAATATGACCATGATTTCAGGTACGCGCTGGCAACTTACCTTTTCATGTTTACAAGGTTTTATTTCGGCGAGAAACAATGATGAATCTTACATGTATTTTAGCCGATTAACTTCATAATAACAAAAACGATACTTTCAACTAATCAACGATTATCTTTCTCAATCTAGGATTAATATATTGTTGAACATACAAGTAGAAAAGACGATCAATTGATATGGTTCATTATTTTGAAGTGCGTTCCACTTGAATAAATAAATATTTGTAAAAGAAAGTAGCAATGAACCTTGTTCTTTGATTTATAACAAGAAGAAAAAGAAAAAGACGAACAGAAAATAAAACGACTAAGAAGGAAATTAAGAGTGTAAATTAATTATAATAGAAAAAAAAGGGAATATTTTGTGCTTTGTTTTGATTTATATATATATACATTCATCACTGTTGGAAAGAAAGAAAACTAATTAAAAAGATCATCAAGTTCAGAAGCGGCCGTTTTTGGACGTGCTATATTTGATGATGTAGCTGAACCTTTGATTACAGTCGAACCTGGTGCAGGCGGTGGTTGAAATAATGTTCCGTTATTCATTGGTCCTGAAGTAAAATATGGTGAAGGCATTGAAGAATTTGCATTCATTGGTATTGATGATGGATTTGTTTGTGGTCGAGAACCAAGTGAATTAATATTATTTAAAAGACTTGATGTTAAATCTGTTGTTTTTGTTGATGAAGCAAAATTTAATGTTGGTCGCATTGGTTGTTGTGCTGTAGTTGGACGTATAAGTGATGGCATTGTTTGTGAAGTAGACATACCATAAAATGGTTGTGATGGTGATGGTGATGGATTTTGATCAAATAAAGTACTTGTGAGATCTTTATAAAGATTTGAAGATGAACTCGACATTGCTGTTGATGATGTAGGTGTCATAGACATCAGTGGAATATTTGAATTTTTAGTTGGTAACGATGATAATGGTGCTTTACGTTCAGGTACAATTTCACCTTGTGTTTGCATACGTTGTGTTTGTTCATTTTGGCGCATTATACGCTCTTTTTCTTCTAATGTTAATGTCTAAAATATATTTTTGTTATATTAAAAACTTACTATTGAAAAAAACAAATGTTTACTTTTTTTCCCAATGAGACTTCTGTTGAAATTGATGAATTAGCTGATGTTTGTTGAGAATGTTGTAATTTTGGGCTGCCATGAGATGCATTAGAATCAAAATTTGATGATATACTTTTATTTTGTGATATTTCAGAATTAAAACCATGACCAAGCATAAATTGATCCATCTATTTAAAAATAAGATATGATAAAAGATTAAAATAGAATAGTATATTATATACCATTGAAGATGAATTATGATCAACAACAATATCATTTGTTGTTGGACCTATTGGTATAATTGGTGCACTAAAAATTCAAGTTATTAGTACAGAAAATTGTATGTGTCTTTTTTTACTTTGCTGCTTGCTGAGAAAGTTGTTCTAGTTTTTTACGTTGTTCACTTTCAACTGCTTGTAACATATCCTTGATCGTTATCATATATGCATTAAACTGAAAGAAAATAAAGCAAATATTAAATAAGACTAATGAAAAGTTGCTAACAAAAAATAGGTCAAAATTTGCTTCGTCCATGAAATACCAAATGAGTACAAGGAGAAACAAACTAATTTCTCGATTTATACCCTAGAAATCAGTTTGTTTCTCCTTGAATGTCTATTTAAATAATTCAGTATGATCTTGTATTATGTTTATCAGATCGAAGTACATAGATTGTTATCATGGAAGGCTGAGTATGATATTTCTAGGAAAAATAATTACATATATTGCTCTTTATCTGTAGTCATAGTATATTTGTCAAGAGCCGATTCATTAACTATTTGAGAATGAAACTAAAGGATAGAAAGATTAGCTGAGTAAGTTAACTCATCAATTTCACTAGAACTTGTATTAAATACTTAAATGTATAGCATACTATTGATGTCCTACTTAATCAAAAATAAATTTACCTGATTGAGATTAAGACTTGTTTCAATTGAGATTGGTATTAAAAATGGTATAACTTTTGTTGCAAGTACTTCACGTGGTAATCCACCAGCTTTTGTTGATGACATAGCAACTTTAATGATACCTAATATTGCCATAAGTACAGCTGGTTCACGTGATGGTATTGATTGAAGTAATGGTAAAACTTCATCAATAATAACCCATTTATCTAATGATTCAACTAATTTTCCAAGACATATTAAACAATTAACACGAACCTGAAACAATAAAATTCAAATTAAATACATGAGAAATATTCTATAAAACTACTTACTTACACTTAATGTTATTGTTTCAAAACAGATCTTTTTTATACGTGGTAATATATTATATTTCATTGCTTGTAAATCAATTAAATGTGCAAATTGCGGAATAATTGCTAAACAAAGTTCCTAGAAGAAAACAATACATGTATATAAATAAATTTGTTTAAAAAAATAGATTTTCGTTTACTTGAACTTGTGCTGATTCAGCATCTAATGCATTATAAACAACAGGTAAAATATTTTGTTTGATATCTTCTGGTGGAGTTTTAGTTAACATTAATTTCATATTACGCATTAAAATTAAAAGAGTCTAAAAATATATTTTATAATTCAAATTCAATTTATTTAAATTTTATTTACCTGCATAACAGAACTTGATGTTCCACTTCCCTATAAAATATTGAAAAATATGAATCTTTATATTTTTCTTCAATTTACCGGAGGTGGTTTTTGAATTTTGAACACTTGTTTAAGTTTTGGAAATATATATTTTTGATATTCATCATTACTTGCTTTTTCCTAATAAAAAAATAGAAACATTTGTCTTACTACAGATTACTACTTCGATTATATGTAGTTTTATCTTATGCAAGAACTAATATTTCATCTGTAGAAAACTTCTATTGATTTTTAAACAAAAATATATCGTTTACAAGTACTTTCCCCTAAGTTCAAAAACATGTCTCATTATTAATTTATTATATATCTGGATTATTTAACTGACAAGTGAATCTCTTGAGTTTCAATTGAACTGGATAATCAAATTTATCCATGCGAAACGTTAGACTAATCTAATATTAAAAAATAAATAAAATTCATCAACATACAGCAATAAGGAACATATTTGGTAGGACAAATGGAACCATTTCTGGATTAATAAATTCAAGTTCTAAAGCTGAAGCAATACGTTGTAAATTAACACGCTTCAAAAGAAATAAAATAAATAAAATAAGAAATTTTTTTTCAAAGTAAAAAATACCATTGGTAATTTATCAATAACTTGTGGAAGACTTTTATAAAACATTGATCGTTGAATATTATCAACTTGAAATAATGAATCAAGATATTCTAATGTTTTTGTTCCAACATCTTCAAAAAAAGGTACCTGAATAAATAAATAATTGAATACTTTTTTTTCGTATTTCTTATTTAAACTTTTACTTTTGCAAATTGTCCAGCATCTGGTCGTAATTCTGGTTTTGAACTTAATAACATTTTAACATGCTCACGAACTTCCATTGGTAACGATGATAATTTCGTTGTATTAAGTGATTTAAGATCATCACAATTTTTCATAAATGCAGAATAACTGTCATGACATTCATATAATGTTCTACCACGATTATACAATGCATAAATAAGCATACCAAGTGAAAACATATCCGATTGACTATCATAACTTTTAATTGTTCCATATTCTGGTGCCATATAATCCAATCGAGGATTAATCACTGCTGGAATATTTCCATCATAATCTCGAAATGGATAAGTTGCCTAAAATTGATAAATAAAATTTAAATAGAACAAAAAAAAGAACAAGATTTTACTCCATCAGCTGAACCTGATACAGATAATTCAAAACCAAGTAATTTCCATGCACCATTAGAATTAATAATAATTGATTCAGGTGATATATTTCGATGGAGTAATTTAACTTCATTATGTAAAAATGCTAATCCTTCGCAAACCTATGTACAAAAAAATATATATATATGAATAGAATAAATTTAAAGATGAATCATACTTGAACAATACCATAACGAATCTCAACATCATAAAGTTTATAATCTTCAAATTCCTTTGGTATTGGTTGTGTTATATTATCAAAAAAGCCAAGACAATTCGAAAGACTACCAAAACAAGATTCAGTAGCAAATGCAAGACTATCACTAAATAAAAGAAAAATAATTATTTTGATAAAATATAGTTCAATAATAATATAAACCGAGATTCTTCTAATGGATGTTGAAGACTTAATATACGAGGATGTTTGATTTTGGCTAATTGTTGTACACCTAAATAATACATTTAAATGAAAAGAGTTTTTTTTATGTTGCTGTCAAAATAAAATCTAAAAACCTTTTTTCATTGCTTCAAGAATTAAATCACGATCTTTTTTTGGATATTTATCTAATAAACGTTTTTCTAAAACGAATACAGCTGCTTCCTAAAATAATTCATATTGATTATTTTATATAATGATTAGTAATGATTTCAACAAACTTGTTTAGTTGTACGTTTAATTGCTCCATAAATTCTCCAGAGAAGACCTGGACCAGCTGAACCAAGTGATCGAACAAGCTATAAAAATAAATTTATTATTTTTTCAAAATTTTGTTATAAGATGTTTATACTTCAAATTCACGTGTAACTAAATTTCCTGGTAGAACATCTTTA